CCTGAGCCGACGGCAGACGCCTAATGACTGAGCCACCCAGGCGCCCCTGGAAATGTTTTCTTTTTTAAAAGAAACTTCATAACTTTACAGATTTTATGTGAGAAAAAAAGACATAATCAAATTTAGATATAATTTCCTTCCAGATTAATATTTTTAAATAAAGTCAGATAACTAACAGTTAAATCAAGGTATTAATTGTACTTGGCAAACTACAGACATCATGAAATTGCACTGTCTCAATTATGGCTAATTTTAAACAATTCTCCTCCTTCCCTCTTTAAGATCTTGAAGAATATTCTATCTAGAAGAGTATTTCTTATATGAAACCCCTCAACAATGTCAGCAGATACAGTGATAAAACAGTATGAAATTCTGAAATGATGCAATATAAAAATAATAAAGTTTGCAATGAGGTGAGTTTCCTCAAATTTAAAAATGTCATCAAATCCTCACAATCTCCAGGCACCGGGCTGGCTCAGTCAGTAGAGCATGTGACTCTTGATCTCAGGGTTGTGAGTTCAAGCCCCACATTGGACGTGGAGCCTACTTAAGAAAAAATTATCACAATCTCAAATTTCAAACTGCCTTTTTATAATTGCCACATGGCGGCACCACTTCAGCTAGTAAATAGACTTCTGCCATTCATTGTCAGCACTCGTCTCTAATTGTGTGGGGTCTTCAGGAACACAACCCACTCAGAAAATATATCTGTTCTGTTCACTGCCAGAGTGGTGGGGCTTGTTTTCTCTCCAACCCACACCCCCATGTTTTTGCTAATACAGTATATTCTCATAAAGTCTCTTTACCCACTGAACTTTGAGTTTTTAATTGAATTTTTTTGGCTTCTCAATAGAGATTAATTAAAAATCACTTGAGAGCATAAAGAGTCTAGTGTATTAGCTTTGGAATTTCTTTCATAGACTTTGAGAATTGGAAGAGACCTCTGAGCTACCTGTCTAGCTCCTATACATTAACACATCAAGAAACTGAGTTATAAAGTTACTAGGTTAAGATAATGTAGGGAGGTGAGAGCAGAGTGGGATTTAGTTCTTCTGAGCCAAGCTGCTTCTGGATGTGAAGTGCTAATCACACTTGAAGGACTGAGTACTTAAGAACACTTAAATTGTGCCTCTACATACAAACCAAAGTGAAAGAAAAAAAGCAGTTCTGGTGTCAATGATGATCAAAGAGTAAAGACTCTGGGCCAGTGCATTTACTGAAGATAGTTCATTTTGATTATTTACAGGACCAAGGGGATAGATTTAATTAAACATAACTTCTGCTGGCCTCGTGTATATTAAATGTTCATACTTTTACAAGTTCCTAAATCAAATATGGCTGCAAAATGACTTTGAAGACGTTTGTTAGCTAAAGAAATAACCATAAAATTCTCCCAGCAATGAATGTATTTCTGAGAGAACTATCAGGCACTTTGGAAAGTCTTATCCCACTAAATGGCTCTAGCATTTAGCAAAGTCAAAACTCCAGTTTAGTGATCGGCAACACTGAAAGCAACTTCTTTATGGAAATATTAGTGAGTCATTTCTTTAATATTTTTGTCAGGTACACAATCTGAAATTTTGCCTCTTTTTCTTGGTTTGAGGGTAGAATGGACATTCTCTAGAAAAACAATATTAAAAAAACTATTTACAAAGTGCTTGCTTCTCAGGGGAAGGGTGCTATATACCTTCAGAAATTAAAAAAGAAAGACTTAACTGGGACCCTTTTGTAACAATGATATGAGAGGAAGAAATATTTACCCATTTGACCTGATGTTTATTGGGTAAAGTTACATTTTAAGGGAATCAATATTGTAATAAGCTGTGTCCACTCTGTGTTAGTAAGTTTGGGTCTGCTCCACTTGGGTTTCAGAAATACTCCTTCTACTAATTAAATCACAGGCAGTAGTGACTTTACTAATTGGTAAACATATACTTAAATTCCCAAATATTTGAGAGCTGCCTTGTAGTAATTTTCAGAAGTACATAAACACCTCAATAAAATACATATAAGATTTAAAAAAGCCTTCCTTCTTTGAATCTTTCCTTGACTAATATTTTAGAGAAAGGTCTTAGCGATTCCTTGGTGGATGAACTCTTCATTTAGGTAGTGATTCTAAAACTTCTTGGGGTTCCAGGTCCCTCTGATAATCTCAGTGAGTTGAATCCATGGATTTTAGGTCAATAATCCTGAATTGCCAGATTAGTACCCTGAGGTCAGGGAAGTCTGGTGACCTGCTAAGAGCCACAGAGTACTTTTTGCCTGCCTGTATCATATTTCCTGATTCTGTGAAAACAAACTAACAGATCCCAACTCCTCAACTCTTAAAATGCATACAGCCAGATACATATGGACAGCAAGAGCATGGAGATTTAAAATCAGAGCAGAAAAAAGTAACTTGAACAGAATGTGGCATTTCCCTTGGTCTGTTGCTAACGGCCCACATACAACATGCTTAAAAAAAAAAAAAATCCCACCCTGGCACTTCTTTTCATCATCATTTAAAAATGATTCAAATGGACCTTTAGAATGTATGGCACTAGGGATGTATCCCATCTGGGGATAAACAGAAAAGAGCTTCATTGAGCAGGGCTGTGTTTTCAGTGGTTGTCAGACTAAAGTTGATGTGTATTCCATCTCTTCTGTTTGGTCATGCTTTTAAAGCCAAACACAATATTTTAGTTGTATATTCTCAGGACTACGAAGCCAGGAGCATTTAACATTCCTTTTTGTAAGAAAATAATTATGGACATGATTTTTAAAATGCCTTCAGGATTTGAAGATGTGAAAGAAACATGTAAAAAGGAATTATTTCTTTTTATTCTTTATTTTCTCTTTATTCTTCATTTTTTTTTTGACCCTGAAGTCCATCCCACTTTGTTCTATTAAAAACTAGAGAGTCCTGCCTCTTAGTTATTACCTCTGGGGTGGCTGTTTTCTGAATATTGTTCCAATTCAGGTTTTTCACACAAATCCTAAGGTTTGCATATCCCATATACTCATATACACTCTGCACTATAAAACTTGAATAAACTTAGAAGTCCATAACCAGCCAACAGTCTATGACCTGTTTTGATGCTCCTGCTATCAGCAAAACTTCATCTTGATAACTGTCCCAAAAAAAGTTTAAACAATTTTCCTGATAACACTAAAAACTGCAAAAAAGTAATGACGGTTGGGTGAAGTGAAAAACTGATCAATCATGGAATGTATTTGTTCACTGCTGTAGTTAGTTCCCAGTGATGGGGCTCACTCAGATCCTCAGCTTTTCTCAGTCTCAAGTTTTTGGCTCTGGATGTTACACTGAATGTAGGCATTAGATTTTAATCATTTCCCCAATCTAAAAACAGAAATTGTTCATTGGGGGAAAAGACGTCTTTTATTTAAACCTTACTTCTGGGGGATTCTAATGCTTCATTGCTAACCCTTATTTTCGTACAGCACACCTGGACTCATCACACAATATATGTAGTCAGGCTTTGGAGAATTTGTTTCAATTTACATACAATCCTCCAAATCCTCTGGCGAGCCTGATGTGAAATGTGATACAGCCACGACTCCCCAGCAGGATCTTCCTTTGCTCTCGGTGTTAATAGCCAAAGACTCCAAGGATCCCTCCCGGGAGGCGCGGTAAGGCTAAGGAGTCGGGGCGGGGCGGGGGGGGGGGGGGGGGAAAGGGAGATTGCCGGGCTGGCTGCGCTGAAGATTTACAATGTACTTCTTGCAGGCGGCTCAGCAACCCCCTCTGTGGCTGTGGGTGTCTGGTGTGACAGAGCGGAGAAAAGCTCTCTAATCTCCCAGTGCCTGCCTCTGCCGCTCAGCCGCTCCCCTCCCTCCCGTCTTCCCTGCCTCCTTGCGCACTCTCTCGCTCTCTCCTTTGCCTTTCTCCGGGAGTTTCAGTCCCTGAACGCAGTCAGAGTAGCCTTGGCAATCCGGACCTGGAGACTGTGTGTACACACACGGGCACACACACGCACACACACGCACACGCACTCGCACACACGCACTCCGGCTCTCCCCACGGGGATACAGAGCAAACCCGGAGCATCATCTACCTGAAGGGGATGGCCCGACAGGACACTTCTTGCTCACTTGTCATCTCCGGAGGTCAGAGCAACGTCGGAACGAGGGAGGCTCGCTGTCCGGTCTGCAACCTCACGCCGTTTGCCGCCACCGCTGCTTAAAGTGTCCAGGGTGGAGGAGACGGCTTTTTCAGGGCAGATTCCCGGCGCAGCTCTGCGGCCCTGGGACTTCGCCCGCCTGGTTCACCCCGCTCTCTTCTTCCCCGGCCAGCCTCTCGCCCCCCGCTGCGGAGTGCATGGCTCGGGTGCCTCCTCTGCTGCTGCTGCCGCCGCCGCCGCTGCGAGCACATCCCACCCAGAGGACTGAACGCCACCGCTGGAGTGGGGAGAGAAAGCGGAAGCCCTAACTTCCCTCTTCACCGCTCCCTGTCCTTTCTAGCCGAGGACCGGTTGAAAGGCTCCCGCCGATAGCCAGGCGAGAGCTGGGCGCTGGGGAGGGCGAGCCGGGAGCCGCAGGCGCTCAAGGGGCGGAGGCAGCATGTGCCCCGGTGGCCCGCGCGGGCCGGAGAAGTAGCGCGCGGTGGGGCGAGCGAGAAGCTCCCTAAGTTGGGCGCGTCCCAGAGCTCGCCGCCCCGCGCCTCGGCCGCCAGTGTCCGGAGAGAGGCGGGGCTGATGGGGGGCGCCGAGGTTGCTGTCGCCTGCGGCTAGAACCCGTCTTAAAGGAACCTGGGCCGGCGTCTCCAGGGTCCCAGCTGGCGTCGCGCCCTCGGCCCGCGTGCGCTCTCTGATGCCTGCGCTGGCGGTGGCCCGGGTGGCCCGCCCGCGGGGGGTGCCGGAGGGGGCGGGGGAGGAGGAGGAGGCTGTGTGATGGCCCTGGACGGCGAGCGGGGGGAGCAAGAGGAGGAGAAGAAAAAGAAGAAGAAGAAAAAGAAGAGGAAGAAGAAGAAGGAGGAGGAGGGGGCTGAGAAGAGCAGCTCACCCTTCGCGGCCACCATGGGGGAGAACGACGCCGCGCTCCGGGCCGGCGGCAGGGGGCTTTCGGACCCGTGGACGGACTCCGTGGGGGTGCGACCCCGCACTACCGAGCGCCACATCACGGTGCACAAGCGGCTCGTGCTGGCCTTCGCCGTGTCCATCGTGGCGTTGCTCGCGGTCACCATGCTCGCGGTGTTGCTCAGCTTGCGCTTCGACGAGTGTGGAGCTAGCACAGCGCCGGGCGCCGACGGCGGTCTCGCCGGCTTCCCAGCGCGCGGGGGCAACGGGAGCCTTCCGGGTTCCGCCCGGCGCAACCACCAGGCTGGCGGGGACTCCTCGCAGCCCGAGGCAGGCGGGGAGGCCACCCCTGGGACCCCGTCCGCCCAGCCGCCGTCGGAGGAGGAGCGGGAGCAGTGGCAGCCGTGGACGCAGCTGCGCCTGTCGGGCCACCTCAAGCCGCTGCACTACAATCTAATGCTCACCGCTTTCATGGAGAACTTCACCTTCTCCGGCGAGGTCAACGTGGAGATCGCGTGCCGGAACGCCACCCGCTACGTCGTGCTGCACGCCTCCCGGGTGGCGGTCGAGAAGGTGCAGGTGGCCGAGGACCGGGTGGCCGGGGCTGTCCCGGTGGCCGGTTTTTTCCTCTACCCGCAAACCCAGGTCTTGGTGGTGGTGCTGAATAGGACCCTGGACGCGCAGAGGAATTACAACCTGAAGATCATCTACAACGCCCTGATCGAGAACGAGCTCTTGGGCTTCTTCCGCAGCTCCTACGTGCTCCACGGGGAGAGAAGGTACGGAGGGAGGCGGTGCCCGGCACCGCCCCACCCAGCCAGGCTGCTCGAACGGCTGGGCGGCCGGCGACCCGGGGGACCGGGCTGGCTTCCCAGACCAAAAAGCGAGGGATGGGTGAAGGAAGCGAAGGTGGGGTAGGACCATCACCCAGAACCCTTGGGGTCGGCCAGATGCCCGGGCTTTCTCTGCTGCCGACTCCACACACTCACCAGCGCCGAACGGTGAATACCACCCCCTCCTCTAGTCTGGAACTCCCTCGCGCCAAAGTTCCTTAGCCAGCATGGCGCAAAACAATTTTTAAAGGGTAGTGTGAAATCTGAGCGATGCCAGGGTGACATCAAAACCCTGCCAAGATACCGTCGAGGGAAAATACTCGTGAGGGCCAAAGGCCAGGGCTGTGGCACGTCCAGATAAGATGGCAGTGCAGGGCAAAATCCACCCCCCAACCCCACCCAACATGCCCATCTCGACTGTTACCTGGCAGGCACGGAGCAGAGAGTGAGCTTTGGCTGCATGAAGTTTTCCAAAACTGGAAGTTGAGATTCGGAGCAGTACGAGCAGGTCCAGGTGACAGACTTGGGGAGGGCGACAGGGGTCCGGGGGAGGCTGCCCTGGCTAATGCCAAGGAGAAATGTCCTTGCAGGTGCTGCCAGCTCTCTTGACACAAACACAGAGTGACTCTAGTTTTTTGCTGTTTTTCTTGAGTTACTGCCTCTGGAAATAACTCTAGTGGTGAAAAGAGTTCGGAAAGCTAGCCCTCAGTCTCAAATGCCTTGTTAATGAGTGCCTTTGATGCTTTTTAGATTTGGGCAGTATTTTCTTTTTTGTTTTTCTCTGAGAGGCTGTGGGGCTTTTCACCACTTGTTTAGAGTTCAGATTTCGTAGTCAAAGAGAAGTGGGTTCAAATCCCAGATGCAGCACTAGCTGTGGTGAAGGCTTGAAGACGCTGATGAATCTAAGTAACCAGCTCCTGACAATGATTATCTAGTGCTTATCCAGCAAAGTATATTAACTTAGTCCCACAAGAACCCTACGTGGAAGGTGCTATCCACACTTCCTATTTTACAGATAGGGAAATGGAGGCACAGAGAAGTCAAGTAATTTGTCACACAGTGAGCTGACAAAGCAGGGATTTAGACCCAAGCGGTTTGGCTCCAGAGCCCATACTTTTAGTTTTAACTTGGTGACAATAATAGTACTACTATTATTGTGTCCATGAGTAAATGCATTGAAAAGCACTTAACCCTATACCTGGCATATAGAGTGTCCTCTATAAATATAAGCTGTTATGAGTGTCCTGTGATAGTCAGCACTCAAGCGTATTACTGAATGAATAAAAAAGTGATTTTTACTTTTTGCACTAATCCATTGCATTTAAAATGACTTTGATTAATTGACTATAGGGCCAGCAAACAACCTAAATGAAGTTAAAAAAGAAATTGACAACCTTAGAAGTAGAGGCAGGTTGGAGATTAGCAGTGATGCCCCTGACAGAGCCTCTCCTGTTCTCAAATGATTTTCACAACAGCAGAAAACTGGGGCTCAGAGCAGCCCCAGGTACCTGAGATCAGTCCCAGGTGCCTGAGATCAGCAGGCTTGTCAGTAGAGAGGTGAGACTCAAACTTTGGTTTTCTGATGGACCAAGGCTTATGGTGGCTGGAAACTCCCAGAAGTTGTTATTGTATAGGAGGCTGGGAAATTTCAGTGCGTTATGGGAGAACACAAAAGTTTTATTATTTATAGAGTGCTATGAAGCAACCTCAGATCAATTTTCCAAAGTTTCAGTAGTTGTATGGTAATTAAAGCCTCCTATAAGTGAATGTATATTCATTTTCAAACTCCTAAGATCAGATGTGGATAATTTAAACCCTCTTCCACCACTGCCTTTAACATATTCTAAACAATACAGAATAAATACATTTTTTAAAACCCACCATCATATCAAATATGGGGGAAAAGGCGTAGAAGGCAAATTTGCATGTTGTGTTTGGAAACAAGCTTATATCAAAATGTCAATAGTGGGAGTTGCATATCATTGATAAATCTTGCTCTGGTGAAATAAATACTTCCAACAAATCCTGTGTTTTGAGCCATGCCAAAATATATTTGTTGGAATTGAGCTTGTTTTGGTCAGTGCATTCAAATTAACAGGACTCTTAAAAAGACCAGATGTTTTTGCTTGACCTGTAACTGTTTTCTTGTACCCCTAGTGCATATTTGTGTTCAAACTCTCTCCTTCAGTTTTCTCCCAGAGATGTAAATGACTTGGTTGAAAGTTTAATCTAGAGCACATGTGGCTGTATTCTGCATCCCAATAGAAAATCTGGATTCAATATTTCTGGAGCTGTCAGGATGGTTTTGTTTCTAAACAGCATCTTAGAGAAAGTCCTCGTTTCTCTTTGTTTTTTCTCCCCTTCATTACCGGAATGAATATGATAACTTCTTGAGTGTTTCTAACTGGAGTTGATATGGCAAAGGAAATCTCTGTTCACAATTATGTGACCATTACATCTATTAAATCTTTTTTTTTTTTTTGATTGTTGTCATTACTATGACTACTGGGAGAATTTTTTAAACATACCAATGTCAGGAACTCAGCCAGGTGTGGACTTTGGTGATGATTTCGTCCCCCAAATGCTCTGTAATTTGATATTTTAAAGCACTTTCCAAGAGGACATAGATGCAAATTCTAAATTTTCATTTGATTAATGATTAAATATCATGGTCTTTAGTTAGTTGTAGTTTTTGTCAGGTTAATTATTGGATAATCTTTGTAATAAAAATAAATATTTATTCTGCCAATGGGGAGTCACAGCGAGCAACTGGAAATATTTAAAAGAGCACTACTACAATTCAGTCCACCTTACTTAGCCTATATGGAGACAACTCATTAATACCCAGGAGTCAATCTGATTCTTTGGTTTACTTCTCGGAGGTCTGAGAGAAAGAATTTGGGTGAGGGCAGGAAAATTAGATTTCACTGTTGCTATATACCTATGACCCTTGGAAGGTTTTATTCCCCCGCTAGGCATTGGATGGGACCTGGTTTTGTCCTACAGAGAACGCTGACCTTTTCTGGTTCCCATACTGCACTGGAGAAAGGTAGAGGACAAACTCTCCCCTGAAACCCTAGGCTCCTCTACTTTCAGTTGATAGTTCGGGTAATGGAACATTCACCACTAGTTGAATATTGCAAATAAATAAATTCTCTTGAATTTGAAATGTTTACACACAGCAGTAAATTATCTCCTTTGGGCAGAACACATACTCATTTTTTCCTCAAGTTGGTGCAGAGCAGGCAGATAAAAAGGGTGTGTATTTATGCCATAGTATCCTATAGTAGAATATACTTGCTTAGAATTAGGTATATGTTCATTTACCTGAAGTAATTGCTGCTTTCGGGTAACCAGATGGCAAGCATACCCATGTTCAAAGTAGGGTACCTTAATTTAGAACCAGATGGTTGGATTGAAGGAGGAAATTTACTCAAAGTAAATGAATATTCTATCCACTTTCAAAAGGGAGACAGTTTTTTTTTTTTTTTTTGACAAACTTTGGGTCTATAACATGCCACAGTTACAGAAGACAAAATAAAAATGGGTGGTCTTTTTCCATGAAAGATTATTTTAAAGAGAAACCATGATCTCCAAATAGAATGGGAAAATAACATTGTGGTTCTCAGAGAATTGCAAAAAACTCTCTTGCAAAAATCTTGTGGAGCATCTTGTGGAGAGAACAGAGGATTTTATGGATAGGCATTTGATTTTCTGTGGTATTAGTGTACATGGTTTGATGCCTTGTACTTTCCTGGACTGAATTAATAATCATGATATTTAATAAAAACTTGAAAACCACCACATGGCTTTTATATTGAAAGCAGCCTCATTTCTCTCATTCACTCTGGTGAGGAGATACCTTTATATGAGCAAGTTAGAGTTTATGTCTTTTTGCTCCTCTATAGAAGGCTCTGAACAGAAAAATCTGTAAGAACCGGTTGTTTCTGTGAAAACTTTTTAATAGAATTCCTTAATGAACTTAGCTCATTGTTTTCCTGTCAGGCACACGTAACCATATGGCCAAAGTCCCATGCTGGATTTTGGTCACAATTCAGAATGTCACCAGTAAACTAAATCTAGAAAATATTTTTAAAAAGCTTTGATCAGTTAATAATGAATAATGACTCATTTAGGTAGGAAAATCCATACAACTGGTGTTTGTCTTGCCATGTTTTCCATGATGCCATCTGATTTGATTACCCTGGATAGTAATACAATATACACTTCCTCTCAAAGAGTTAAATTATTTTGCCTGTGTTTTTATGTATATAAAGTACTCTAAATCCTAAACAGGGCCTATCTGCTCTGGATCTCTTTCAAACAAAGGTGGACCTGTGACTGGTTCTCTGGTATTTGTTTGGTTTGCAAAGCATGTTTATTTCCTCAAACCAGTTCTTGCCACTGGGTATGGGGATGGGCTTGAGGCAGTAGTACCGGGTGTGGTTTAGGTTTGTTGAGGATGGGGACACTTGTCCATGTGATGACAAGAATCAGACTCCGTTCTTTAAGCACAGCTTCAAAGAATGATATAAAAGGAGCAAGGAAGAAATGATGGATCTTTAATACATGAACGTTTTGCAGTTTGTAAGGAAGGGTGTTCCTCTTTACCCCATGCTCATTCTCCCACCAGCCAGCAATGACAATCATCATCATTGTCAAAATCACCCACTTCCTTTTACTTATTTGTCTGTCCTTTATGTGCTTTCAGATTTGCAACAGTGGCTGGGTTCCTCCAGAGTTTTTCAAAGTCGCATATCATCCTGCTTTTTGCCACTAGAGAGTGGATGCTCTTTCCAGCAAGTAGAATCTCACTCACTACATAGAAATTGGGAGAATATAAAGATGAAAGATTACCCCCCCCCCAATCTTCTCAGTTTCCTGGCCAATCTGGAATGATTTCACATGGCTACAATGTATGGTGGTGTTGGGAATAAGATTGGCAA